TATTAAAAATTAATAATGAACGCAGATGTATGAAACAATCCAAACAAACAAACTATACACCCTGCACTGGAGTCGATTCTGACCCACAGCACCCCTAGAGGACAGAGTGGAACTGCCCCACAGGGTTTCCAAGGCTGTCAATCTTCACAGAAGCAAAGCCCAAACCACACCCACTGCACTGGAGTCGATTCTGACTCATAACAACCTTATAGGAAAAAGTAGGGCTTCCCTTTAGGGTGTCCAAAGACTGCTACATCTTTCTGCCATAGAGAAGCTGGTGAGTTCAAATCACCGACCTCTTAGCAGCCAAGTGCTTTAACCACTGTGCAGCCGGAGGTCTTTGATGTGTAAAGCGCATACACTATATACCATAAATTGTTGTTGTCCCCATTTTTCAAATGAGAAAATTGATGCCCAGGAGGCACCAGTAACTGTGCAGTACAGACTCAAAACCAGCCTAGCTCCAGAATTTTTATTATCCAAATAAGTACTTAGAATATGACATGTAAAATATTGTAAAAATGTAATCTCACAATCCTGAATCAACCAATATAAGCATTTTAATCTATTTTCTTATAATATTAATCTATAAATCTAAATAAATTAAACAATATGTATATTTTATATATATTACATATATACTTATATATATAAATATTTGAAATATTATATATATAAATATTTCAAAAGTGAAATCACACTTTAGCAATCTTTTTGCATTCTGCTCTTTTAACTTATTATGTTTTTTTAGAGAAAATGCATTTTCCAATGACATTAAATATTCCATAAATGAATGAAAGTAGTGATTTGATAATATTACAGAATATCATACACCATTATTTGTTTCAACAGCACTTCTCACTACACCTTTTCCTGCATTGATTGTAAGATATGAATTAATTCAGTAAATAGCACAGTGCATGAGAGTAAATAGGTAAGGGGAACCAAACTAACCAAATTCACTGCCCTCGAGTCAGATCCGATTCATAGTGACCCTTCCTTGGGTTTCCAAGGCAGTATCACTAGGGAATAGATTGCCCCATCTTCCTTCTGAGGAGCGGCTGGTGGGTTTGAACCATCAGCCTTCTGGTTAGCAGTCAAATGCCTTAGGCACTATGCTATAAATTGGGATACATTATCAATTTCATTCCAATATGAAGAATCAGCTAGCCTATGTACATCTGACTTCTTCCAGCTTCATTTGAAACTCTATCAATCTCACTTTTGTTTTGTTTCTCCCAAAAACTGAAAAGCTAAATCAACTTTTTATCTCATTTTACTTTTCCAGTTTTAATAAATAAGTTATCAGTTCTTGAAGCAAGGTGGAGATATTGAACCTGTCTTGGAACTATGAAAAAATTAATTCTTTTCTTTGTCATCTTTTGTGCAAATATTCTGTTCTGACTCTATTTCCTTTAAAAATTTTAATTAATTTTTGGTATGGATCACTATAGCATATGCATGTAATTTTATTTGTCTTTTCTCTTTAGATTTCTAACAAATACTTAACCATCAAAATGAGATAAATTTATTTCTAAATGCTAATATCTTTATATTTTATGTATATATATATTGTAATTAATATGCAATGTGTTTTTAACATATGGTGTGGACCAGTGTCCTAACTCAAGTTCTTTCTCATCTATTAGCCAAATTTTCTAATATCATTTTTAAAATTATATGGAGAATAAAGGAAACACTTTGTCTCACTTCCTTTGTTTTTCTTTTGCTTCTTTCAAAGACATATGAATACTAAACAAGAATTGAGGATCTAACTGTGCCAAATATATAGTGGGAGTGAACCACTTATTTTAAAAATGTAAATATGGATTTTTGTCACTGTTCTGTACAGAGGATCACTATGAGTCTGAATCAACTTGAGGACACCTAACAACAATTGTAGTGTTTAAACACAATTAATGTTGCCTTTAATTTACAAACGGTACACTTTTTCATCAAGTAGAGAAAAATTGTTCTAAGTAACTTAAAAATGTGTGACACCTACTTCTGTAAGACAGTTTAATTATTTTGTTACAGTCTACTTCCAAAGGAGCTGTTGTGGCCTAGTGCCTAAGGCATTAGACTGCTAACCAGAAAGCTGGCGGTTCAAACCCACCAGCCACTCCTCGGAAGGAAGGTTGGGCAATCTACTTCCATAGTGATACCGCCTCAGAAACACAAGGAGGGGTCTCTATGAGTGGGATCTGGCTTTTTTTCCCTCTTTTTTCCTACTTCCATGCCTGCATCCCCTAATTTCTAGTTTAATTTTTCTTCTTATAATTTATACCATTAAGGTCATGCTTTGTGCTGTGAAGTTCTGTGGGTTTTGACAACTGCATGGTGCCATTTATCCACCACCATGATACCTCATGGAAGAGTTAAACTGAACTAAAAAATCCCTTGGACTTCAAATCCTTAACCCTCCTAAACTTCTGCATTAACTCCTGATAATCACAGATATTTTATTGCCTTTACAGTTTTTCTGTTTTCCAGAATGTCTTATAGTTGAAATCATACCATTTTTAACCTGTTAAGACTGTCCAATAGCAATATACATTGAAGATTCATCCATGTCTTCATTGTTTTAAATTGTTGTGAAAATACACACATGAAAACTTCCACATTTAAAAGAGAATGATATTGATTACATTTTTCTTGTTGTGCCTATTTTCACTGTCCTTTCCCAAAACATTCAAATATTTTAACATAAACCCAGTGTCCCTTAACAAAAGCTCCCTGTTTCCCCCTCTTTCCAAAGCCTGCCAACCATTAATAATTTTTGGTTTCTATATATTTGCTTCTTACATAAAAAAGTGAGATCATACAGTATATAACCTTTTGCCTTTAATTCACAGACTCCATACATTGTTTCACTCAGTGTAATACTTGCTAGGCTTATCCATGTTGTGGCATGAAACAGAGCGTTATTTCTCTTTATGGTTGTATAATATTTCTTTGCATACATATAGCATATTTTGTATATTCATTCATCTGTTGAGGGACATTTTGGCCATTTTCTCATTTTGGCTAAGTGTTTCACTAAACATTGGTACACAGGTTTCTGTTTGAATTCCAACCTTTACTTCTTCTGGATATATACCTAAGGTTGAGATTGCTGGGTCAGATGGAAATTCTATATTTTAACTTTTTTATTTTATTTTCTTTATTTTAACCACCAAATAGTTTCTCACATTGGCTACACCATATTATTTTATTTTTAAAACTTTTTATTGGAGTTTAGGTGAAAGTTTACAGAGCAAGTTAGTTTTCCATTTAGCAATTTAAATACGTTTTGTTTTGTGACATTGGTGCAACCCCCTCAGTGTAACAGCACTCTTCCCACTTCCTCTATGGGCTCCTTGTTTCCAATTGTCCAAAGCTTGCCTCTTCCTACCTTCTTAGTTTTGTTTCTGGGCAAACGCTGCCTTTTTGATGCATATGGTTGATTGTAGTGAGGAGTATATTGCTCCTTGGTATCATTATTCACTTTGTAGTCCTGCCTATTATTTGGCTGAAAGTTGATCCCAAGAGGTGGGTTGGGTTCCAGGTTTGAGGGGAGTGTAAGGGCCATAGGCTCAGGGGTTTTATCAGTCTCTATCAGACCATTAAGTCTGGTCTTTTTCTTGAGTTTAAATTTTGTCTTAGTCTTCTTCTTCTTTTTTTTTTTTCCTCCCTCTCTGTCCAGGAACGTCTACTGGGATCCTGATTAGAGTGGTCGGTGGAAGTAGCCGGGCACTATCTGTTCTTAGGGTAGTGGAGGCTGTGGCTCACAACGCCCATTAGTCTGATGGGCCAATTACTTCCTTATGTCTGGTTTTCTTCACTCTTCTTTGCTCCAGATGGGAGAGACAAATAGTTGCATCTTAGATGGCTGCTCACAAGATATTAAGACCCACTCACTACTCATCACAACAGCATGAAACACATTATCTTTGTAGACTGTCTATAGTACCTTTAAATTTTAAAATTACCCATGTTAGGATTCTGGCTCATTCATTCTTTGAAATGAATGTAAACAAAGCAATGTCCTGAAAATCATAGCTTTTCCTTGTCATGGGGACCCTGACTAAGCATATCAGATTCTTATATTTAAAGTGTAATATGAAAAGGAAAACAAACAAACAAAAAACAACCCAACACATAACTGAGGACTATGATTTAAGCCTAAAAATTTATTAACATCACGGATAAAATTATTCCACAGTCCCTATTAAATGATGATTTCATTAATGATTAGGCCAAACATTTAATTGTATAAAATTAGCTGGAATGACATACTTCTCATTACATTATACTGGAGTCATATTTTTACTGCTTTCTTGTATTTGCTCCAAGGGTTTAATCTATCTGTAAAGCATCACTTAACATTTTTCCATCAATACTAAAACAGACATATAATAATTTTCTCTTCTTTAGGATTTTTTACTCAAACATTGGAGTTTTCATAAATTCTCAAAAAAGTGATTTCTGTGAAAAGACTACATTTAAATATTAATTTTAAAACTTGAAAATAATCAACTTTATGTCCATTCACCAATATATTGCATAAGCTATAACTAAAATGCTAAAGTAAATTTCTTCAGAATGTAGATTTTATTATTCAGTTACAACTATAAAGACTGATAACTATAATGACAGCAGATAAGTTTTAAAAATAAATTTGAAAAAATAAACTATTAGAAGTCAAATTCCTAATTCTGACTTTCCCTCAATATTTTCATAAAAGTTTAATATAAAGGAAGAAAAAATAAAACTATCATGTTAGAGGATAAACATACACAGACACACAAGTCTGTAAATTTTTAAGGACATTTAAGATGGTGATGAAATAAGCTTAAATACATAAGTGATTTCACTGTTAATTTGGGAACATTAATGAGATGATGTAGAAAAAATATTGGTAAATTAATATAAAATGCAGCTATAGTCCTCAGGGCTGACTCGACGGCACATAACAACAACAACAACATAGTCCTCAGAACATTTCTTTATTGTTTGTTTTAGTGATTGACCTCAAATAATTTCATTTTCTTAAAAAATAAAAATCGTATCTTATTGACCATATCTTTGAAGGCTATTTTCACTTGCTGGTTCCTTAGGCTATAGATGAATGGGTTCAACAGAGGGGCAACTGAAGTATTTAGCACAGCTACTCCCTTATTGAAAGTGGCTGCATCCTCAACAGAAGGATTCATATACATAAATAGACAGCTTCCATAAGACAGTGAGAGCACAATCACGTGAGAGGAACACGTAGAAAAAGCTTTTTTCCTTTGCTGAGCTGAAGGGATTCTCAGAATCGTCCTGATAATATATGTGTAGGAAAGAATCACTAACATCAGTGTGAAGATGAGTGTCACCCCAACAAGGATAGTCTCAATCATGTCTATGAAATGTGCGTCTGAACAGGATAAATGCAATAGGACTGTGTAATCACAGCAATAATGATTGATGATATTGGATGCACAGAAAGGCAGCTGGAGACTCATTATATGCGGCACAATGACGACTAAGAAACCAGAGAACCAGGAACAAAGGACAAGTCGAATGCACAGTCTCCTGCTCATCACAGTTGTGTAATGCAGGGGCCTGCAGATGGCAACGTAGCGATCATAGGACATGGCAGCTAAAAGGTAAAATTCAGTGGCTCCCAGAAGGATGGCAAAAAAGTACTGAGTGAAGCAGCCGGCATAGGAAATAGTCTTGTCTCCTGTTTCAATGTTGACTAGCATTTTGGGCACAAAGACAGAGGTGAAGGAGATTTCCAAAAAGGAAAAATTCCTGAGGAAGAAATACATAGGACTCTGGAGGCGATAATCCAGCAGTGTCAGAATGATGAGAGTCAAATTTCCCATAATGCTTAAGACATAAGTTAGTAGTAATAAAAGGAAAAGCACAGCTTGAAGCTCAGTGTTATCTGTCAGTCCAAGAAGAATGAACTCAATCACTGATGTTTGGTTTCTCATCATCAACTTCAGGTGAATGAAAGTGGAAAATGATGATTAAAGAAAAATCTAAAACAGATTGCAAGAGAATTGTATTTATTTGAGGCTTTAAAAACTGAATCCTTTAAGTATTTTTTAACCAATAAAGTAATAAAATTCAGGTATCGAGCTATTAAAAGAACAAACTAAAGAACTAGTTTTCTTCCTGCTTTTTGTTGTCGTTGTTGTTGTTAATCCAAATGTAGAACACATGGATTACCTTGTGTTCAACTAAATAACTACTTCAGGGTTATCTCACTGATGGTTCTTTCTTGCTATAAACAGGATTTGTACATCACTATGTAATAGTTCCTTTAAGAAGTCAGTTCAAATTCATAATGTGTAATGTCTTCTACAATTCCAGTCAATCATAATTGATTCTCCCCAATCTTTGTCAATATATATCACAGCATAATACTAGCTTATAAAGTCCAGTCAATTATTCTCTAATAATGTGAAGCATCCACCATTTTTCTGTCAGTTTGTTGTACTGTGGTGGGTTGTGTATTGCTGTGAGGCTGGAGGCTATGATAACAGTATTTCAAATACCAGCAAGATCATCCACAGACAAGTTTCAGTGGCCCTTCCAAATGAAGACAGGCTGGGAACAAGGTAGGATCCATCCACTTCGGAAAAAAATTGGCCAGTGAAAACCTCATGAATAGCAGTGAAACAATACCAGAAGATGAGCCCCTTAGGTTGGAAAACAATCAAAATATGACTCGGGAAGATCTGCTTCTTCAAAGTAGAGACGACCTTAACGACATGGATGAAGTAAAGCTTTTGGGACCTTCATTTGCTCACCGAATATGGCTCGAAATTGGAATAAATAGCTGCAAACATCCATTAATGATTGGAATGTAGAATATATGAAGTATGAAACTAGGAAAATTGGAAGTTATAAAAAATGAAATGGAAAGCATTAGGACTGATATCTTAGGCATTAGTGAGCTGAACGGACCAGTATTGGTAATTTTGAACCAGACAATCATATAATCTATTGTGCTGGGAACGGTGTCACATTCATCATTAAAAAGAACATTGTAATATCTGTCCTGAAGTACTATGGTGGCAGTGATAAGATAATATCCATAGCCTACAACAAAGAGACCTGTTAATACAAATATTATTCAAATTTACTCACTGACCACTAAAGCCAAAGATGAAAAAATTGAAGAGTTTTACCAACTTCCGCAGTATGAAATTTACCAAGCATGCAATCAAGATGTACTGACTATTACTGGTGACTGGTATGCAAAAGTTAGAGATAAAGGGGAATAATCAGTAGTTGAAATATACGGCCTTGGTGGTAGAAATGTTACTGGAGATGACCGAATTTTACAAGATCAATGACTTATTCGTTGAAAATACCTTTTTTCCACAACTTAAATGGTGGCTATACATACAGACTTCACCAGATGAAACACACAGGAATCAGATCAACTAGATATGGGGAAAGAGGCAATGGAGAAGTTCAATCTCAATGATCAAAACAAGGCCAGGAGTTGACTGTGGAACAGACCATCAATTGCTTATATGCAAGTTCAAGTTGAATCTGAAGAAAACTAAAACAAGTCCACAAGAGGCAAAATATAACATTGATTATCAGAAGGAAGGTTGGGCAATCCTACTTCTGTAGTGATACTGCCTCAGAAACCCAAGGAGGGGTCGCTATGAGTCGGGGCCGACTCGACGGCACATAGCAACAACAACATATCCCACCTGAGGTTAGAGACCATATAAAAAATAGATTTTATTCATTGAACACCAATGATCGAAAACCAGACAAGTTATGGGATGATATCAAGAACATCATACATGAAGAAAGCAAAAGGTCATAAAAAGACAGGAAAGGAAGAAAAGACCAACATGGATGTAAGAAAAGACTCTGAAACTTGCTCTTGAATGGAGAGTAGCTAAAGCATATGGAAGAAATGACAAGATAAAAGAGCTGAACAGAAGATTTCAAAGAGCACCTTAAGAAGACAAAGTCAATATAATGAAGTGTCCAAAGACCTGGAGTTAGCAAATCAAAAGGGAAGAACATGCTCAACATTTTTTAAGCTGAAAGAACTGAAGAAAAAATGAAAGCCTTGAGTAGCACAATTGAAAGATTCTGTGGGCAAAACATTGAATAATGCAGGAAGTATCAAAAGAATATGGAAGGAATACACAGAGTCACTGTACAAAAAAGAGTTGGATGATGTTCAGCTATTTTAGGAGGTGCCATATGATGAAGAACCAATGGTATTGAAGGAAGAAGTCCAAAGGCACTGAAAGAATTGGTGAAAAAAAAAAGACTCCAGGAGTTAACAGAATATCCAGTGAGGTGTTTCAAGAAACAGATGCCATGCTGGAGGCCCTTATTTGTCTATACAAAGTAATTTGGAAGACAGCTATCTGGCCAACTGACTGGAAGAGATCCACAGTTGTACTTATTCCAAAGAAAGGCAATCTAACAGAATGTAGAAGTTATTGAACAATATCATTAATATCACACAATAGTAAAATATTGCTGAAGGTAATTAAAAAACTGTTGCAGCAGTATATTTACAAAGAATTCCAGAAATGCAAACTTGATTCAGAAGAGGATGTGGAATGAGGGATATCACTACTGATGTCAGCTGCGTCTTGGCTGAAAGCAAAGAATACCAGAAAGGTGATTGTTGTTGTTGTTGTTAAGTGCCGTCGAGTCGTTTCCGACTCATAGTGACCCCATGCACAGCAGAATGAAACACTGCCCAATCCTGCGCCAGCCCCACAATCCCTGATATACTTGAGCCCATCATCGCAGCCATGGTGTCAACCCATCTTGTTGAAGGCCTCCCCCTCTTTCGTCGACCCTCCACCCTACCAAGCATGATATCCTTCTCCAGGGAATGGTCCCTTCTGACAACATGACCAAAATAGGTGAGACGAAGTCTGGTCATTCTTGCTTCCAAGGAG